TTCATGCCATTAATGATTGCCCAATGCTTTAATTCATCTACAACCCTCTGCAAGGCCTCCTGTCCCTCCAGAGAGTCAGTGGTACCTCCCAGTTTGGTATCAGCAGCAACATTGTTCATGGTGCATCCAGATCACTGATAAAAACATTGAACAGAACTGGCCCTAGAATTGAACCCTGAGGAACACCGGGCTTACAAATCTTTAACCAGATGTAGCCTCATTCACTACAACCTTTTGAGCCCTGCCTTTCAGCCAATTCTTCACCCAGCACACCATGTACCTGCTCATCCCACAGTTGCACAACTTCTCTAGAAGGATGCTGTGAGGAACACTATCAAAAGTCTTACTAAAATCCAGAAAATTCCATGCACCACCTTCCCTTCATACTCTGGCTGTTTGACCTTTTCATAGAAAGATATCAAATTTTTTGAACGGAATTTTCACGTTGTGTCCCTATGTTGACTGTGTCTGATGATTGTATTGTTTGTTAAACACCTTTCAATAGTACCCAGTATGACATTCTCCATATTTTTTTTCCGTGGACTGAGGTCACACTGACAGGTCTGTAGTTTCCTGGGTCCTGCTTCATGCCCTTCTTGTAAGTTGGAATATTGTTGTCTGGCTTCCAGTCAGTAGGGACTTCCCTAGATTACTAAGACTTTTGGTAGATCATTTAGGGGATTCCTGCTGTAACATCTGCCAGTTCCTTCAGTTCTCTGGCATGAATCTTGTCTGTCCTCATGGATGTGTGAACAACCACATGATACAACTGGTCCCTTACAAATTCAGTGTCCACAAATGGAAAGTCATTGTTCCTGCACTTGTGGTTCTCCAACTCAGTGGAGACTGGGCAGCCCAAGGTCCATCAACATTATTAAAGACTGAGGCAAAACATATATTGAATGCCCCAAGTATTCCTTTGTCTCTATTTCTCAGGTGACCACCTTCAACAAGTATTGGCCCAGTGTTTTCTTGACACCTCTTCTTGCTATCATTGCACCTGAAAAAGCCTTTCTTGTTGTCTGACACAAGACAGGCCACTTTCAACTCTCATTGAGCTTTGGCCTTTTCCTGCCTTCCCCTGCATATGTGAACCACAGCTCTGTACCTTTGCTATGAAACCTGACCTTCCTTCCAGAGATTGTACAAGTTCCTTTTTCCGTGAGGTCTTCTGCCTTGCTTGCTTAACTTGAGACACAATGGAGTTGCCTGCTTCTGTGCTCTTTAAAGGTGGTTCTTAAAAACTGAATATCACTTGTGGACTCCTAAAAGCAGATTTGCAGGGACAATCCTGGGGATTGGTGCCAACTGAGAGCTTGTGGGTAAGTCTTAAAGAGAAGAGAGCTACAGAGGACATTGTAGTGTAGTGCCCTGTAGGCTGCCTGCCAATGAAGAACCAGCAGATGAGACCCTCTACAGGCAGATAGGAGCAGTCTCACGTTCACAGTCCCTGGTTCTGATTGGGAACTTCGACCACCTGAATATCTTCTGGAAGGACAGCACAGAAGGACATAAGCAAGCCAGGAGGATCCTCAAGTGCATGCATGACTAATTCATCACCCAAGGGATTGAGGATCCAATGAGGACAGATGTTCTGCTCAACCTCATACACACTAAAAAGGGAGGGCTTGTTGTGGATGTGAAGATCAAAGGTAGCCTTGGCTGCAGTGACCATGAAATGCTGGATTCCAAGGGGTGGGAGGAGGGTAAATAGCAAGGTCAGAACCTGGGCCTGTAGGACAGCAGACTTTGCTGTCTTTCAAGATCTGCTTGGAAAATTTCTGTGGGAGAAAGGCCTGAAGGCAACAGAGGCCCAAGACATCTGGTTAATATGCAAGGACCACCTCCTGCAAGCTCAAGAGCAGTCCATCCCAATGAGCAGAAAGACAGCAAAGCATGCCAGAAGGCCTGCATGGATGAACAAGGAGCTCCTGGACAAATCAAAACATAAGAAGGATGCAAGCACAGGTAACCTGGGAGGAATCCAGCAATTCCATTGTCCAAGCATGCAGGGATGAGGTTAGGAAAGCCAAAGCCCAGCAGGAACTGACTCTGGCAACAGGTGTCAAAGGCAACAAGAAGGGCTTCTCTAAGGACACAGGTGACAAAAGGAAGGCTGGGGATATGTGGTCCCACTGCTGAAGGTCTGGGCCTTCTCTGATGCCGTGCAGGCTGGTAACACAGGACATGGAAAGACTGAGGGGCTGAACGCCACCTTGGCCTCAGTCTTCCAATATTGAGGAATCCTATGTCCTTGAAACTGGGAACAAGGAGACATATTGTTGGAAGAGGATAAGTTCAGCAAATTGGAGGCCTCCTTCAAAATCTGTACATCTTGTAGACAGTGATAACAGTCGGTTTTTTTGGAAGCCAAAAATCTTCTCCTGATTATCTGTGCGCCATGCCAAGAACTGATTTTTCTCTTCAAGCCTGACGTTCTCCTCCCATAATATCCTGGTGGTGGCTGAGGGCCCATATAAATTTAATTTTCAGCAGCATTGAAATAATGGGGGAAATAGCTTTTGCAGCCCTCAGTACCCAGAGTTGGGGAGGGCTGCTTAGTTTCCTGGGTAGAAGATAAAAGGAGTCCATGAAACTTAGCAGTGCAACCCACCTGCACCCTACAAGTGACCAATGGAGTGACTTGGGAGAGAAAAACAAGTCATAGCCTCAAGCAGGGAAGTCCTTGGGTGACCAGCCAAAGATTCCAAGGATGGGAGCAGGTGGGTCCCTTCCTGTCACTGCAGCCATGGGCAACTCCACCAGTGTGCCCCAGGCCAATATCACTTGCCTGCACTGCGCCCATCCCGCACCTGAGCTGAGGCTTCAGCAGGCACTGACACATTCCTGCCCCAGAAATCATGGGGTCTCTCAATGCCAGCACTCAGAAGAAGCCTCTGTGAGGGAAGGTGGACAGCATAGGCCAGGAAATGAGAAGGCGGCATCAGAGAAAACAACCACCCAGGCCATGTCATTAGCTGGGATGTTTTCTGCTCGTCATGAGCAGCTTAGAAAATTGCCTCTTCCATAGAAGCTTTGTCTGGGCCTGGGGCAGGTCAGGGCCACCATAAAAGCCAGCCCAACTCCTCGCTCTCTCATCTACTTCTTTCTCATCCTTCTCCTTGGGAACCAGGTGAGTCTGAAGCCCTTTCCCTATGTTGTTTTCTGCTCGCTGTGTACTCCTCGATCCTGTGGTGGGCTGAGGTGTTGTGTTCCATGAAAGGCTGAAGAGAGGTGAAGGTCTGACTCAGAGAGTGTCTGGGACTTGGCTGAGGGACGTCTTCTGTTAAGAGATAGGCAGCAGCCTCCTTGGGCCTGGAGATATTTTTTGTTACTTTGCAAAGAGGATCTGGATCTTGGCTGAGGTTGTCCTTCACTGAAAAGAGTGGCAGCACCCTGTTTGGGCCTGGGTGATGCTTACAGAACTGTGTCTGCATACCCTTTTGCCCCACTGCATAGTTTCTACCTCCTGGCTCAGCAGCTGCCTTTGACATGATTGTGGTGAAGTGACAGACCCCTGATAGACTGCTCTTTGTGTGTGCCTGTGATCTACTGCCCCTCTGCCCTGCCCTGTAGGCTGCCTGCCAATGAAGAACCAGCAGATGAGACCCTCTACAGGCAGATAGGAGCAGTCTCACGTTCACAGTCCCTGGTTCTGATTGGGAACTTCGACCACCTGAATATCTTCTGGAAGGACAGCACAGAAGGACATAAGCAAGCCAGGAGGATCCTCAAGTGCATGCATGACTAATTCATCACCCAAGGGATTGAGGATCCAATGAGGACAGATGTTCTGCTCAACCTCATACACACTAAAAAGGGAGGGCTTGTTGTGGATGTGAAGATCAAAGGTAGCCTTGGCTGCAGTGACCATGAAATGCTGGATTCCAAGGGGTGGGAGGAGGGTAAATAGCAAGGTCAGAACCTGGGCCTGTAGGACAGCAGACTTTGCTGTCTTTCAAGATCTGCTTGGAAAATTTCTGTGGGAGAAAGGCCTGAAGGCAACAGAGGCCCAAGACATCTGGTTAATATGCAAGGACCACCTCCTGCAAGCTCAAGAGCAGTCCATCCCAATGAGCAGAAAGACAGCAAAGCATGCCAGAAGGCCTGCATGGATGAACAAGGAGCTCCTGGACAAATCAAAACATAAGAAGGATGCAAGCACAGGTAACCTGGGAGGAATCCAGCAATTCCATTGTCCAAGCATGCAGGGATGAGGTTAGGAAAGCCAAAGCCCAGCAGGAACTGACTCTGGCAACAGGTGTCAAAGGCAACAAGAAGGGCTTCTCTAAGGACACAGGTGACAAAAGGAAGGCTGGGGATATGTGGTCCCACTGCTGAAGGTCTGGGCCTTCTCTGATGCCGTGCAGGCTGGTAACACAGGACATGGAAAGACTGAGGGGCTGAACGCCACCTTGGCCTCAGTCTTCCAATATTGAGGAATCCTATGTCCTTGAAACTGGGAACAAGGAGACATATTGTTGGAAGAGGATAAGTTCAGCAAATTGGAGGCCTCCTTCAAAATCTGTACATCTTGTAGACAGTGATAACAGTCGGTTTTTTTGGAAGCCAAAAATCTTCTCCTGATTATCTGTGCGCCATGCCAAGAACTGATTTTTCTCTTCAAGCCTGACGTTCTCCTCCCATAATATCCTGGTGGTGGCTGAGGGCCCATATAAATTTAATTTTCAGCAGTATTGAAATAATGGGGGAAATAGCTTTTGCAGCCCTCAGTACCCAGAGTTGGGGAGGGCTGCTTAGTTTCCTGGGTAGAAGATAAAAGGAGTCCATGAAACTTAGCAGTGCAACCCACCTGCACCCTACAAGTGACCAATGGAGTGACTTGGGAGAGAAAAACAAGTCATAGCCTCAAGCAGGGAAGTCCTTGGGTGACCAGCCAAAGATTCCAAGGATGGGAGCAGGTGGGTCCCTTCCTGTCACTGCAGCCATGGGCAACTCCACCAGTGTGCCCCAGGCCAATATCACTTGCCTGCACTGCGCCCATCCCGCACCTGAGCTGAGGCTTCAGCAGGCACTGACACATTCCTGCCCCAGAAATCATGGGGTCTCTCAATGCCAGCACTCAGAAGAAGCCTCTGTGAGGGAAGGTGGACAGCATAGGCCAGGAAATGAGAAGGCGGCATCAGAGAAAACAACCACCCAGGCCATGTCATTAGCTGGGATGTTTTCTGCTCGTCATGAGCAGCTTAGAAAATTGCCTCTTCCATAGAAGCTTTGTCTGGGCCTGGGGCAGGTCAGGGCCACCATAAAAGCCAGCCCAACTCCTCGCTCTCTCATCTACTTCTTTCTCATCCTTCTCCTTGGGAACCAGGTGAGTCTGAAGCCCTTTCCCTATGTTGTTTTCTGCTCGCTGTGTACTCCTCGATCCTGTGGTGGGCTGAGGTGTTGTGTTCCATGAAAGGCTGAAGAGAGGTGAAGGTCTGACTCAGAGAGTGTCTGGGACTTGGCTGAGGGACGTCTTCTGTTAAGAGATAGGCAGCAGCCTCCTTGGGCCTGGAGATATTTTTTGTTACTTTGCAAAGAGGATCTGGATCTTGGCTGAGGTTGTCCTTCACTGAAAAGAGTGGCAGCACCCTGTTTGGGCCTGGGTGATGCTTACAGAACTGTGTCTGCATACCCTTTTGCCCCACTGCATAGTTTCTACCTCCTGGCTCAGCAGCTGCCTTTGACATGATTGTGGTGAAGTGACAGACCCCTGATAGACTGCTCTTTGTGTGTGCCTGTGATCTACTGCCCCTCTGCCCTCTCTTTCAGGTGCACCTGCAGCTCAGAGACATGTCCTGCTACAACCAGTGCGTGCCCTGCCAGCCCTGCGGCCCGACCCCACTGGCCAACAGCTGCAACGAGCCCTGTGTCAGGCAGTGCCAGAACTCCTCTGTCATCATCCAGCCCTCTCCTGTTGTGGTGGCCCTGCCCGGCCCCATCCTCAGCTCCTTCCCTCAGAACACCGTGGTGGGCTCCTCCACCTCGGCTGCTGTTGGCAGCATCCTCAGCTGTGATGGAGTGCCCATCACCTCTGGGTGCTGTGACCTCTCTGGCATTTCCAGCCGCTACTATGGCAGAAGGTGCCCCCCCTGCTAAATCCACTGTGGACAGCCCCAGTAAGGACCCTCAGAAACCTGAAGCTGTACTGAGGACAGAGCTCCGGGCCATTGGTTTCAGAGAGGTTGAGCATC